GTTTCTCCCCAGAATGATATTTTTCATGAATTAGACAGGTACTCTGTTTGTTGAATGTTTTTTCATATTGCTTACATGTATAGTGTATCTTGAAACTGAACTCTTTGATGCATTTTAAATTTACTTTGTTGGCTGAATGCATTTCTACGTTGACATGCATAGGGTTTCTTGCCAGTGTGATTTCCTTCACGTATTTTACAATATTCAGTGTATTGAATGCTTCTCCACTTTCTCACATACATATGGTTTCTAACCAGTGTGATTTTTTTTTATGTATTTTAGAATAACTTAGTGTTGTGAATGCTTTTCTGTATTGCTTGCATGCATAGGGTTTCTCACCAGTGTGACTTCTTTCATGTATTTTACGAACACTCATTGCAGTGAATGCTTTTCTACATTGTTTAAATGCATAGGGTTCCCCCCCAGTGTGATTTCTTTCATGTGTTTTACAACTCAGTGTAGTGAATCCTTTCCCACATTGCTTATGTGCATAGGGTTTTTCCACAGTATGACTTCTTTCATGCATTTTATGATGTCTTTTATTAGTGAATGCTTTCCCACATTGCTTACAGCATATGGTTTCTCCCCAGTGTGAATTCTTTCATGTGTTTTACAGTACTTTAGGATAGTGAATACTTTTCTGCGTTGCTTGCATATACAGGCTTTCTCACCTGTGTAGATTCCTTTATGTTTACAAAGTATATAAACCGCACCAAATCCTTTTCCATATTTCTGCTATGTACATAGGGTTTCTCCCCAGTGTGATTTTATTTTATGTATTTTATAATACATGTGTGTACCTTATGCTTTTCCACATTTCTCACATACATATGGTTTCTCATCAGTATGATTTCTCTCATGTATTTTTCAGTAACTCAGGGTAGTGAATGTTTTCCCACATTGTTTACATGCATAGAGTTTCTCCCCAGTGTGACTCCTTTCAAGTGTTTTACAATACCATTGTGTAGTGAGTGCTTTCCCACATTGCTTACATGCATAGGGTTTATCCCCATTCTGACTTCTTTCATGTGTTCTGTAACACATCTGGGTAATAAATGTTTTTCCTCATTTCTCACACACATAATTTTTGCCATTGTGGCTTCTTTCCTGTATTTTACAATAACAAATGTAGTAAATGCTTTCCCATGTTGCTTACATATATAGGCTTTCTCACCTCTGTGGGTTTATGTCTAAGAAATGCAGACTTACCTATAAATTCTATTTCATATTGCCTATATAGATAGAAATAGAGATAGAGATATATAGTTTCTTCCCAGTATGAATTCTTTCATGGATTTTATTTTATTTATTTATTTTTATGAATTTAGGGCCGGATTTACAGGATGTATAGGGTCTTACTTCGTAGATCAGACTTACCACCACGCCCAGTCTCAATCCCCGTCTCAGCACACCCCACAGGTGGGGCTGGCACGGCAGGCCAGGGATCAAACCCCAGCCTCTGTGCTCTGCTGAAACAGAAGCTTTAGTCCTTCATGGATTTTAATACCATACTGGAGCCTTTCACTCTTTGCTTGTATACAAAAGTCTCCACTCCAGGCTGAGTTTTTTCTCTGAGATCATAGTAGTTTTTCCCACATTGCTCATATTGATAGGGTTTCTCTCCAGGCTTTGTTCTTACATGCTTCTGGAGGGACTGCAAATCACTGCAGGTTTTTTCAGCTTCATTTTAATTATTTAGCGTCTCATCAAATTGCACATACTCATGGGGCTTCAGTCCAGTGTAAGGTAATTTGGAAACATTTAATGATAAATAGCCAATCAGGGGCTTTCTACAAGCAAGGCTTTCAGCTGGCTGTAGAGCAGCCTGTTGAATCTCCATATTCTCACCCGAAGCCAACAGAATATTGTTTCATGTTGATCCCAAACTTTGTTCTGATTGAATTTTGCTACCTTTTAATTTCTTAGACTTATTGAGGAGTTTTTATATTCTTCTTCAAGTTGCTGGTTCTTTCAGTCTCTTTCCATAGCAACCATATTCATAAATGTTTCCCACATCACATCTCTGCAGAGCTTCTTTTGAGATGAATTCAGCACAGCCCACTTCTCCATGGTGAAGTTCACAGGTACATCCTCCAAAGTCACTGCCTCCATTGTGTGGGCTGATGATCTAGGATCCTTCAAATGCTCACACACAGTAGAAACTTCAGAAAATGCTGGTCTGTCAGTGGGAGCTGTCAGCAGCACACTCAAAACGTGTAATTCTTCTAGATGTTGCTGTTTGTAAACTGCCAACTTTGCTGTTTAGGAGTTAGATTAACAAATTGTATCTCTTTGAAAAGTAAATATTGCCTTTTCAAGAACAAATTAAGGGGCTGGGGAGATAGCTCAGTAGAATAAGTGCCTGCATGGCAAGCACAGGGTCCTGAGTTCAATCCCCGGTATCAC